GACAGAACTATTTAAGACACTCTTGAGTACATCACAAGTTCCTTAGTTTGTCTGTTAGTTTGTATTTCAGTGTGAACACATTTAAGTCTCTCTTTTTGACAAAAGATAATTCCTGGCCAGGGAGAATTGGAGAATTGTCATCTTATGCCCTCTCAACACTATTTCTGGAACACTAGGGCCTACTGAAAGGGTTTCTTTCACTCTTGTCTGAATGTGCTTCTTCCACTCAGTTGACAATTTACAAGTATTTGAGGATTTTGCTCAGGCTTTGGGTAACAGACACTTATTAGTATAATATACTGACATTCAAACTGTAATCTTTTCAGATGTCAAGTAGAGGGAGGAGAAGAAAAGGAGGAAGTTATTCTGGCTGGTTGAAATGAGTGATGCTGATGTGGATCAGTCCATAAATAAAGTAATGAAAAGCAAACCATCTGAATTTCAGAAGTGTAGTTCAGATGTTAGAAATGTCAAAGCCAAACTTCCCACAACGTTTGGACTGTTGGTATTTGTGATTGTGATTTATGTCATAAGGAAGATATGACAGCAGCACATCACAAAATGCAATACAGACATAAGTTCTTCAAAATAAGAAATGTTCACAACCAAGCAGCTGGCTTACTTCATAGTGTTGATGAACAAATACTATTAAAAATACTAGCTCATATGTAAAATTGAAACTATTAGCTAAGTTTTCCCTAAATTTATATTCTTAGTATCTGAACAATATTTAATCTATACGTACCCAAATTTAATTTTAATAGTTGTGTGACACTAATATTTGCATATTTAATTAAGTAATTGTCATCCCTCACCCCTGTGATACTCTTACAGATGCTCACATTACAGACAGTTAACTGAAATATTTACAGTAACTCATACAAATGTTTCTTACCTATGTCTTATGGGATTTAGGAATATTTAACTGTGCAACTACTTAGTCATTCACCTATATAAAAGTAGTTGAAAAATACAGGAAAAAGATAAATGATAAACACATTTTAATCTGAAAATGCAAAGTTAGTTCTTATTTATGGAGTACTGAAATTGGACAATACGAAGAAGCTGGAGTACATGCTGCCTTCAACAAAGATCTGACAGGTATTTTATGTCCCTGCTGCGGCGACTCAACATTTAATGAACTTATATTAAAGTAGATGTTGCATAATTTCTGCCAAAATAAAAAATAAAATCTGTCTTGAGAGTTTTATTTCAGCCTATATGTACAGTGTGTATGCTGTATATTAAGAAAGTAATATTATTTAAAGTGTTTTCTTCAAATGAGAAAGAATTCAGGCTCTTTATCTCCTGAGAACACAAGCAGACAAGATGATTTGGCTACAAGTTACCATAAATGAATACTCTGTAAGCATCACATCCTGTTGACTGTGATTTTTCAAGGCAAATGTAAGTAACTGCTCAGTTTATCATGGTCATTTCTGAAGCTTTACATGAATTTGCTGAACTCCGCAGAACATTAACTTCTTACAGGGATAATTACAGGCTTGAGTAGTATGCAATTTGTATAGCATTCACTGACCTCCAAGTTGACCTTGTTCAGGGGCAAATTCATAGGTTGTCATAAACCCCATTAGACATGCCTAGTTTAAGGCAAAACCTTTCCAGACTATAGCCATTGTAGACAATGACATTTGAAATCATTCTATTCAACTATTTTTAAGTGCTAATATGCTCTCCAGATATGATCAAATTAACTCACATTGCTAAGCAAGACTTTCTCCTTAAAAGATTAGTGAAAAAAAATTTTAAGAAGACCCTGTATAATTTTAAAAGCTAAAACAGAGATTCAGGTTTTAAAATGGCCAACTAACTGTACGTTCACATGCATTTTTGACAAATGTACACATGGTCACAATTACCAGGCATCAAACTAGACTCACACTACCTGAAATAGCTTCAACCAACTGGAATCTGTAACTGAAGGCTAATATTTTATTCATTAGAGGGCAAAAATGGAGCAAGACAACACAAAGTTTACAACGGGCATAAAACTACTCTAAAAACACAGTTGTAATACTAAGTATTACATAGGACTTTTGTCATGGATTTTTAGAAACAATGTATAACTTGAAAGATTTTGCAACAGAAGTATATAATCAGTAGTAGAACAGAGAACATATTTTCAGAGATAACTCATTTTCAGCCCAAATTACGGTTACTCTGTGGAAGTCACTGACAGGGAATTAAATGTGCGTGTGAATTCCAAATGGAAAGGAGACACAAAAAAATCAACACTTTCCCAGGTCATAAAAACCATAAGGCAAATAAAATGAAAGTTTGTAAAGACTGCGTTGAGCTATTTAGTCTCTGCTTTTAAAAGACAAATCACTGATCACCTCTCAGCATATTGGGACTTGCTTGTAGCTGGCAGTGACAGGTAAGCAGCTAAAATCCAGCTGACGCCAGCTGATGCTGCTATGCCAGCTGGCAGGGTTTGCCAGCTGCCTGCCACTCCACCAGACTATGAATGTATCGCTGTAATGGATGCAGCATCTTCTGGTGCCAATTCATTTTATTCACTAATCCATAACATTATTTGTTATTGTTATTTTTAATATTATTAAGTTAGCTGGTTTGCTGTACACAAGTGCCCCTTCTACATCCTTCAAATATTTATCATTTAATTTAAAAGTGGAGATATACTGAAGCTCGAATACTTTCATAAATTATTCTGTCATTCCCATTAAAAGGTGTTTCTCTAATGTAGCCAGAAATGGACTTCATTAAAGATTATATGACAGACTTCACTGTTTTGTCTCACTGTAACTTCTACATTCTGTCTGGGACGCTTACTGGTGCTGAAATCTGAACAGATTCAGTGTACTTCAGTGGTTAAAAGCTAAAACCTTCCGCCTGCTGGAGCATGGATTCTTTCCATAATATTTAAATTTACTGAGAGAAGCCATAAGCTAAAAAGCTGTCCTGTATATCACGGTGTTCCCCTCCATTCCCACTCATTAACTTTTATGGTGAAGTCAACAGCCTGTGGACCCGTAAGTAGTCTGCTGAAACCCCGTTCAAACAGAGGAAGAACATCCTGCACAAGTATGCCCCTCAAGCCGTTCTCCAGAAATGGCCCAAGAGTTACCAGTGAAATTTCAGAAGCTTAAGACTAGATATTATCTCTTCTATTCCTACTCCAAGCAGAGCCAAGTTTAACTATTTTTTGTTTAACATAGATGTTTAATATAGCTTTATATTTTTTAAATATTTTAAAAATATTTTAGGAGACATGTAATTCTATTTGCAATCCTATTAGATGACACCCCCCCTCTCTATTTTTAGCCTTTTGCTAAAGAACAAGCAAATGGCAATTCTTCAGGATAAAAAAGGAGGTAAGAAGTGAGCTAGTAAGAAATTTATTTCAGTATCTTTATTCCTATCAAAACTGTAAAAACAAGGCAAAGCCACAAAATAGGTATTTGCCCTTTATGGAAACTTTCCATACCCTACATGACTGCAGAGCTTTATGGTAAACAAGGAAATGCCATATTCATTCTTCCCAGTATAGCACAAAAAAATAAAAAGAAAGTGAGAGTGCCTCTGAAGAGCATGCACTAGCATTTTACTACTTCTACTCAAGTTTGAACACTGTTTATTATCTTACGCAGACAGCTGAAGACAGTCATTGTATTTCAACTCTGCGAAGCTTCCAACATTTTCTGCAATATCTGCCCTTCTTGCAGAAACACAAAATTCATTAATTGTAATTCCTCATTTAGTTAGATGGACAAAAAACTTGCTGACAGACATATCCCTTTCAGTTAAAAAAATGCAATTCTCTCAAAATATTGACACTCTTCTTAAATGAGAACACATGTTAATAATTATGTGAAGTCTGTTAGAGATAATAGACAACAGAAAAGCCATTATCTTTAATGTCCTCCTGCGTCTTTGAAATGATAATCATTGCACACTAAAGGGCCAAAAATGATTGATGGACTTTCATTTGGAGCATACACCTGACACAAATTACTTGACATTTACTCCTTTTTTTTTTAAGATGAAGACAGAGTGGCATCACAAACATCCAACTATCCTGTTCCTTGAAAAAGTATAGAAAATACTTGAGTTTTTGAGGATAAGTTACTAACAAGTGCTCAGATACATTGGAAAAACTAATGCAACTTCAAAATATGTGTTATGTGTAAGTCCAGCAGTGGAGCTACAGAATGCACATGGAACAAATCACAGCAAAGGAATGTTCTTTTCTATATTACTTCTTTTTCAGGCCTATAGGGTGTCATAGCTCAATACATAATGAATCACGTTTTTTATTTCATTCCAAAATATATGTCCTAATTCTGCCTTTCTTCTGTTTGGTACTACGAGAACAGATTTTGATTCTGCAAATTTAACAGGAAAGGGAGAACCTATGGCTTCAAAACAATTACATGTGCCTATCAGCTTAAAAATTTGCATGGATATGTACAGGCAAGAAAGGTTAACAGTTCAGAATGAATAAAAGCAAATTTGTTTGCATGTAAAACTTCAGTCCATCTGACATGAAAACATCTACAGAAGACTTTCACAGTCTGGGAAAGATGTTAGATCCTTCAAATTATATTCAAATCTACTAAAAGCCGAGTTCTTTCAAAAACAACTGATTTTATTT